TTTAGAAATGTAATGCCTAGAACTTGAGATAGTATTCCTGTTGAACACTGAAGTAGAACTCAAGTGGGGTGAGAGAGAGTGGTGGGGAAATAGCAAGGGGAAAGAGGGGGGACATCTGCACCTCTGCACCCCTCCCTACCATGCTTCTGTGTGAAGAAGGTAAAATGCCCTCTGGTGAGGACACAAAGCCCCCTCCCTGTCTCGGGGCACAAGGTCAGGCCAGGGTTAAAATATCCTCTGACCTCTGGGAGCCCCCTCTAGCTATTCCTAACCTCTGATGTGGTGGTCCTTCTTTATCATAATGAATTCTGCTGTCTCTGATCATTGTAGGAGGTATTTTTAGCTGGATGATAGCATATTCGCAGAATACTACACACACCTCTCTTGAGCTTGCACACCTCTCTTATCTACTTAACTCTCTTTCAGTTTCCTTTGCTCTTCTGGCACCAGTCTTCTCCTTCCTACGTTGCATTCCAGGTCTTTTGATACACTGGACTCAATTATAAGCTCCTCTAGGGCAAGGACTATGTATGTTAACATCCTTAATGTAACGATAATGGTAGAGCTTTTACTATAAGAGCCTTGCCTCATTCCGTTCTCAGGTTCTCTCCTGGTCTCTCTCACCACAGTGTCCTCGCCAGGGTAAGTGCTGCCGGCAGTGAGTGCTCAGGAGACACTTTTGGCCTGACAGAAGTGGAACCAGAGGCAGTTTTCATCATCTAAAAACACTTTCTCCGGTATCTCCCATTTCAGTCTTTTAGGCCAGAGGTCAGAAAGCGCAGGACCATGCCTAACCCGTTCCAACCAGATGAGGCCCTGTTTTTGAAGCTCGTCAGGTGGGCCTTCCACAACTTGCCCCACGGCCTCACCAGTACTGAACGGCGCTCACTCATCACTAAACAAAGGCTTCCTCTCCCACCCCTCCCTTTTAACTCTTAATCCCATTCTCTAATTCTATGACTAACTCTTAAATTCTTTGTGATTAGTAATTCCGTTTAACTTCAGTAGGGGATTTAAACACCTGGAAACCAGAGACTATTATAATGAAAATGGTAAGTAGAATGAAATGTTGCCCTGCAACTCACTCTTTCCTCGACTGCTCTGCTCAAGGAGGTCCAGGTCATCTGGAGACTGTGTGTGTATGGGCTGGTGGAGGTGGCCAAGCTAATACACCAAATCTGGGGGTATCTTAAAACAATCAGCAGTCCCTGGGGTCTTGTACCATTTTCATTCTCAACTTTAAATAATAGTAAGATGATTTTATGGTTTCAGCAGGGAAACCCAGGGCCTCTGGGGGGCACTGTGATCTCCAAGGGAAAGGCCTGGCAGGGCTCACCTCCTTGGGTCTGGGTGTGGGTCAGAGTTGCTGGACCGGGAGGCTGCTTGCCTCAGGCAAGCCCATAGACCAGTGAAACAGAACAATTGGCTGAAGCAAAAGTCTTACCTGTATAAGAGGTTACTCACTCTGAAAATAATCTTTCATAATGAAAGCATCATCAGATTCCAGAGTCATGAATTAACAAATTGTGCTGGTCTGTGGTGACTGCTTTATTTCTTTACTTAGAAATGCATCTTATTCTTTGGTAGTCAGGGCTATGCAAAGGGTGTGGTGGTTATGACCAACTGTCTGGAGTTATTAATTTTTGCTCATTTTCTGCTACAAGAATGGCTATCTTGGGCTGACTCTCATGATACAGCTGACTGCCTGCCACCAACAGGCTATCCACTTTAGCCCTCATTCAACTTGCCCTGCCTGGACAGTCTTATTTATTCTTTCCATTTCAACTACTAACCACTGTTGTTTCCAGGACTGAATATGCATCACTAATTTAACAATACCTGGGGGCAGGGAGGAGAGAAGAATCCCCAACACATTCAACATATAACATCTGGTATAAGCTCATTCCTACACCTCATAGCTAAAGACCACCTGATCTTTCAAGATTCATGTCACAGTCATCCCCACCGAGAAGCCTTTTTTGACAACCTTCCCCAGGACTGACCACTCCCTGTGTCACAACTGTACCTTGCACATACTTTCACACCTATTAAGTCTTTATTCACAGACTGTAAGCATCTCATTAGCTGGAATTACCTTATTCATCTCTGTATTCCCTTGGTCTAGCTCTGTGCCTGGCATTAATTCACTCTAAATATTCACTGAAGACCTACCATGTGCCTTGTACCCTACCAGACTGGCACTTGTTTGTTAAACAGAAGAGTTCTCAGCAAGCATCCACTCTGCAGTAACATGGGAGATACAAAATGAGGATGTGGCAGTCTCTTAAGCCCTTCCATTAGAGATGGGAGCAGTGAATGCCATGCTGTATTAGTCAGCTCAGGCTTCCATAACAAATACTGTAGACTGGGTGGGTGTGGGTTAAATTGTAATATTTCCAGAATATCTCGCCTGGCTTTAGTATATCTGCATATTAATAGGTGTTCAGTGGTGGAAAGAAATATGGCTTTAGTGCATTTGCATTGTTCCTCAAGAGTGGAGAGAAGTTTATCTCCATATCAATGGGTAAATTACTTGGGCAACCGAGGGCTTATCTATACCTGAAGGTGAGAGGGAGGCCTGGTTTTGCTTCTCCCAGAGCAGGAAAGAGAGAAGGGCCCAGACTGCAGTTTGTAAGCAATAAACAGGTTTTAAACTTTATTTCTCCCTTTGAATGATTTCAGTTTTTAGAGGTATTTTGCCCTGGAATTTCCTCTCCCCAGACTAACACCTGGCATAGTTGGCAGGGTTCCTCTGAACCCGAAATCTGTTATAATGGGTGTGACCTTTGGGAGGGCCACCCCAAGAAATGATGGGGAGAAGTGGCGCTTGCACCAAGAGACATGTGTCTACATTTGTGTGGTCGTAGAGGCACCACCACCGCTGCTGGCCGCGCCGACTCCGGCCCATTGCCTGAGCCTAAGGCTACTGTTTCTGCCACTGCTGCTGCTCCTGCTGCCAGCTGGAGCCTGGTCACAACTATGGAAAGGAGCAGAGGTCTGGGTCACCTTGATAGAGAAGCAACTGGCTGCTGTGTACCATGCCTTGCTGGCTACAGAACCCACTGCCGGAACAGCTCCTACCAAGGTAATAACCACCTATCCCATCGCTGGGTGGGTGAGAGACAGGACTCAAAGGCCATGGAGTGGTGTGGCACAGACACCTACTGTATATCATGTGGCTGGCCATTTGCCTTTCGCATCCCCAGGGAATGATGAAGCAGACACATTGGCCCAGGTGCGCTGGCTAGAAGGAAAGCCTGCCTCTGATGTGGCCCAATGGCTACAACGACGTTTGTTGCAAGCGGGGCAAAAGACAATATGGGCTGTTGCCCATTGGTGGGGCTTGCCACTGACCTTTGAAGAAGTCAGCTGAGCCCGGAAGGAGTACACTGAACACTGTGCAGATGAGCCAACCACTGAGGGGCCTAGAGCATCTTTTTGCAGCCTATGGCCAGTCACCGGTGATTGAGACTGATCAAGGCACCCACTTTACTGGACATGTGTTGCAAGGATGGGAGCAGCCATTAGGAATAAAATGGACGTGGCCCTGGACATTTCAACACATGGACTGGTGATGGCTGGCTCTTCTGGCACCTTGGGGAAAAGGCCTGGAAGCTGGCCTCCTGTGTATGCTGAAGTAACAGCAAAGTGGCCCCCCACAATCACGGTTATTTGCTTCTACAGTCCTTGTGTCCTGGATGTGCCCCCTGGCTGTAGCTGCCATGTGATGGCTGGAATAGACGAGTTTTGGACTTACTCGGCATGGGACTTTGAACATAGCTGAATCCTCTGGCTTGAGAATTATGATTGTATTGCTGTTGTCAAGAAAAAAATGCTTAAAGAGAGGCTTGACTTTGTCTAATGTTTGGTAAAAGTTCTGTGAGCAATCCAGCATGGTTGTTGGGAATGAGTAAACAAGTATAGAAACATGTGTTGTGCTTAGTGAGAGATTGTGCTGTAAAGTACATTTACTTAATCTGCATAGGCTGAATCCTCTGGCTTGAGGATTATCATGATTTTATTGTTGTTGCTATTGTATGTCATTAATTTGGTCGGAAGAGGGGGAATGAGTAAATTGAAAGGCGAGATTTCTGGAGGGGTGGCCTGTGGGTAAAATTGTAATATTTCCAGAATATCTTGCCTGGCTTTAGTACATCTGCATATCAATAGGCAGTGGTGGAAAGAAGTATGGCTTTAGTGCATTTGCATCATTCCTCAGGGGTGGAGAGAAGTTCATCTCCATATCAACGGATAATTATCTGGGCAACGGAGGGCTTATCCATACCTGAGAGGTGAGGGGGAGGGCCAGTTTTGCTTCTGCTGGAGCAGCAAAGAGAGAAGGGCCCAGAGTACAGTTTGTAAGCAATAAAGGAGTTTTAAACTTTATTTCTTCCTTTGACTGACTTCAGTTTTTAGAGGTATTTTGACCCAGGATTTCCTTTCCCCGGACTTACAGTGGGTTAAACAAGAGCCTCACAGTGCTGGAGGCTGAGAAGGTGCTGGCCAATTCAGTTCCTGATGAGGGCCTTCTTCTGGGTTTGTGCACAGATGCCTTCTTGCTGTATCCTGACATGGTAGAAAGATAAACTCTCTTGTGTCTCTTCTTATAAGGGTACTAATTCCACTCATAAGGGCTTCATCTTTCCAAAAGGCCCCACTTCCAAATACCATTGGGGATTAGGGCTTCAATATATGAATTTGGTGGGAACACAAACATTTATTTCATAGCATGTGCTTACCTGAATGTGATCAAGTACCAAATGTGCGGTTCAGACATGGTTCAGTTAAGAAAAGGTAAGATCTGAGCTTCTTGAAGGGCCAGGCCTTACTTTTCTCTGTAGCTCCAGCATCTTCCAAGGCATACCATTAGGCTTGCATTTAGAATTGATTGAATGAAATTCAGAAGCATCCCAGAGAAATTCCAGAGTTTTCTATGGGATGGTAAATGGAAAGGAATTGCAGGGTGGGTGAACAGCATGAAGAAAGGCTTGGCGGCAAGGGTGAATTTTATTTAAAAAATTTAATTGGGTCAAAATACATATAACAGATTTCACTGTTTTAACCATTTTTGAGTGTACAGTTCAGTGGCATTGGTACATTCACATTGTTGCACCGGCAGGGATGGAGTTTTACATCTCTTTCAAAAGCATTCATACCTGGTTAATCACACATTTATTAGTGGGAATAACCAACACTTGGTGTAAATGATGCATCAGAGTAAAAGCAGTGTTCTCCCTGGTTTGGGCAGTTTTCCCATTAACATCTGTGATTTGTTTTGCATATATTAATGAAAGGCTATGGTGTTGGGGGACAAAGGGGACCAGTGCTTCTGCCTGTACGTTGGAATCACTCTTGTGAAGTTTTAAACAATGAACACAAAATTTGTTCCCAATACTGGACCTTTTGTTTTCAAATCAAAAGCATAAAACCCTATTGTGGGGAGAAAAGCATCTTTATTAGCAACCAGTTGTGTCCACTTAAAGCAATAAATATAATCTTTTCAAGAGTACATTCCTATGAAGTACTGTAGCTATTAATATACTTGAATCTTTTTAATGGATGTATCTGTGGGAAGTGTTCTAATTAGTGCCACAGGCACCCTGGAAAGGGAAGATGGTGCTAGAGGGAAGGGACGCCCACCGCAATAGGGCCGTGAGCACAGCCTGTGAGATCTGGGTTCTGGTCTTGCCACTTCTATGTATCCCTGGACAAGCCACCTCAACACTTAAGGCCTCTTACCCAGAAGAGGCTGGAATCCGGGGCCTGTAAAGTCCTTTCATCTCTTTCAGTTCCATCTGAATAACTGTTAGCAAGTGCCACGCTGGTTGGTGGGGTGCTTAGTTTGGGACGGGGCGGGGGACAGCAGACACGCGCGCGGAGGACTCAGCGGTGGTGGAACGCGGAGTATCCCGGAATGGAGCTGGAGCGATGGCATTTCCAGACGAGTTTCTCCAAGGCCAACTTTTAAAGGTCGGAGGAAAGTTTGTCGTGGAGCGGGGGCCCTAAGGGGTGGGCTCGGTGGGCCCCGACGCCTCCTCCCCTTTAAACGGGTGGTCCCAGCCCTTCCTCCGTTACCTGGGGCGGGGAGGGGCTTGGGAAAGTTTGTGTTTGTTGCTGGCAAAGCGCCGGATGGGAGGCGCGGGCGGGCGGACGCGGCGGTTCTTCCCTTTTGCTTTCAGAAAGCGGTCGGGGCTGCACACTAGGCTGGGCGGGTGGCTCCGGTACCCGGGTCCCGGTGCCCGGCCGGCTGGAGGAGGGCGGGGAGGAGGCGGGCGCGGAGCCCGGGCGCACGCAGTCCCCGCGTTGGGATTTCTCGGCTCGCGAGGAGAGCGGAGCAGGCGCGCGGCCCAGGCAGAGGAGCGCTGGCTCTGGAGCCGCCGGAGCCGGAGGAGGAGGGGGAGGAGCGGCGGCGGGCACGAAGGCGGGGGAGAGTCGCTCCCGCCCGGCGAGCATGGGGCGCCTGGCGCCGAGGCCGCTGCTGCTGGCCCTCCTGTCGCTGGGTGAGTGCGCGCGGGGCGCGGTGGGGTGCGGGGGCGCCGACGGGGCGCAGCTGCAGCGCGCGGCCTGGGGCGCCCAGCGGCCGGGGCCGCTCCCGGGAGACCCGGCGGGGAGAAGCGGGCGGCGCGGCCCGGCGGGGAACGGCCCCGGGGCCGCCCGGAGCCGGGCGCGAATGCGGCCGGGCCCCGCGCGGGGTGCAGGTCGCGGCCCCGCCAGGCCGAGGCTCGCCCCGGACGTGTGCCGGGGGAGTGGCGGGGGGGCTGCTTCCCCCAGCCCTCCCTACCTGTTGGCCGCCGGAAGCCCGGCTCACCTTGAACGCCCGGTCTGAAACGTGCCTGCGGTGCCCGGCTCGCGTCCCCAGCCTGGGAGCGGAAATACGCGCCTTTGATATGCCCCGCCGGAGCCGACACCGGCCGAATGGCAATTCACACACAAACCCACGCTGGCTTGCCTTTCCAGGGAAGCGAGAGAATCCACCAACTTCCTCCAGTGAAGGTCACCGGGTGGCCCAGAGCGCTGCAATAAAAATGGGTGTGCGAGCCCTTCGCTCACGGTAGCGCTGTGGCCAGATCTTCTGCCCAGGCTTTTCCTAATTTAGCTCTTCTCTAAGCTGCCTAACTGCTGTTTACACACAAAGACCTAGAAGCCTTGGCTTCTCCAACTTTTCCTACCTGTTACTTTTCCTCCCTTTACTGTCCCCACTTTGACTCTCCCCAATCCTTGCTGCCTCTTGATCACTTGGCCCAGTGCCCTCCTGCATCCCAAGGACTCTGGTGGGTTTTTTCCTCTCCATTTCCCTTTTATTCCATACACACAGACACCATCTTCACATGGATACACGTGGTTACATATTAATATAGTTAAATTAAGGTAACCATGTGTATCTATGCAAAGATGGTTATATTGTATCTACACAAAGATGGTCACATAACTATATTGATTATATTACCATAATCTAGCCACAGAAACACATCTGCTTATTAAGTGCCTGCATGGTACCCAGAGGCTGTTCTATAAAATGCTTTTGATATCCATGGATCACTTTGGTTTGTGTCAACCAGAACAGATTGAATCCTGCAACCTGACCATGGATTCCCTTCTAAGCCCCTAGAGAAAGCCCATCAGAATCCTGTCAGAGCAGCCAGGCCCCAGCTGCACATAGGATAAATGACTGTTCTGCACTTAATGGTCAAAGGGTCCCAGTGGAGGCCTTCCACAGCCACTCGCGTCCTGCTGGTACCAGGGTCTATGCTGTCCCAACTCCCGTGACTCCTGTTACTGGTGGGCCAGCCTTTATAGCTGCTACTGTGTTTTCTTCCTTCACCTCTGAGGGGTTTTCTGGATTTCACTCCCCAAGAGAGCTCGTCCACATCTCATGTCACTGCAGCTATGTGCAGAAAGCCGTTCACCTAATTTTGTAGTATCTTTTCTGTGGTCTTGGATCCTAATGCTCTTATTCTTTCCTTTCACCCTGAGGTCCTTTTAAGACCTCCATTTGTTGAACACTGCTGGTGATAGTCCACATCCATCAATTGGCTAAGGTGTCTTGGTCAAACAGGGCCATGGCCTGTGGTTGCACAGGTTATGCTCTGCACAACTCCAGGACCTGCTGTTCACCTTGTAGTCTAGGTGAATGATTCCCTGTGGAGTTGTGCAGTTCACCCCATGCACCAGTTACAGTGGTGGGGTCAGGCAGAAGTTTGAAAAGAATTCCCTTGGGTAACTATGATAAAGGGATAAAAGGGGAACAGCTGGGGAAGTCTTGGTCATATGTATACTAGCCTGGCTGAACCTCTTCTGTTAACTACACACACAGATCTTTTGTAGTGTGACCAGCCAATGCCTTGTCCCCTAACAGTTTTCTGAAATTGGTGTTCCGCCTGATAACACTGCCCCACAGAATCTCACTTGGTGGCTTCAGTCTGACCTCTGGGAAGCCCTCCCTATTGTAGCTCTCCAGCCCTGTGCTAGGTTTTGAAATTTAATAGGCTAATCAGCAAGCTCATCTTTCCTCTTGTATTGCAACCTGGGCATAATCTTGCTATCACTGCTCACTGTGACCTCCACATGCACACAGTCCCTCACTTCTGTGGCCTTTCTTATAGTGCAAACTCCAGCTTCTTCCCATCCTGGTGTCTGCAGCTCCTATCCCGACGAGGTTCTGGTAGTTCCCCACGTAGATAACTTCTGATGTTTTCCTGGTCCACTTACTCCTCTACCCTCCTTTCTTGGTTCATCATTTTTCCTAAAGGATCATTTTTTGGGCTCCCGTCTTTGCTCATTGGTTCTTTATGATTTTTCCCAAGGATGTTCTGCCCCTTGTGTTCTCTCCCCTCTAGTCTTCCGATTCAGACATCATCCTAAGTAACCTTTTTGCCGGGCTCTACATAGAACATATGGGAACCTTCCAGTCTTTCCATTTGCCATAGCTTGGGAATGCCCCCTCTGCTTCTCTCCTTTTGTCTGTACATTTCCTCATTCCTCTAAAACTCACTTTCTTCCTCAAGCTTACCTAAATCTACCTATCATGATCACCTCAGAACCCACTCAGCTTCATAGAGCAAGTTTTCACTTCTGTTGCTTATTCTGACCTAATACATTATTTCTTGAACACCCATGAGTCCATACCAGTGCCTTGGAGAGATGCCTTATTGAGTGGTCAGTGGGGGTGGGTGGACAGATAATAAAACAGCTGTCTACAAGACAGAATGAAATACCTGACAGAATCCAAGTGCCAGTAGGAAGCAAGGAAGAGGATAATTCTTTTTGACTTGGAATTGGGGTTGATTTTGCTGAAGAGGAGACATTTGAGCTGAACCTTGAGGATGATTAGAATTTTGAAAGAAAGGATGAAAGAGCATTCGAGGCTCTGCAGAAAGGCATCAAGTGTGGATGAGTGAAAGTACACAGCCCATTCAGAAATGGCGTGTAAGTTCCATGTAACTGGAGGTGGGGACCGTATTGGGAGCAAACTGAAAAGGTGGGTTGAGGAGGATCCTAGAGGCCTTTCCTTCTGTGCTAAGAAGTCTGGACTTGGAGGGGTGGGTTTGCTGGCTTTGTGGGTGCTGCCAGGCAGCCTGTACTTCTCCCATCATAGCACTTAATTATCTCCCTGTGTGTGATTGTTCCTGGTCTAATCCCCCACCCTGATTATACCACCTGGTCAGGAACCATGTTATTCCCATTCATTACTGATAGAATGCCTGGCACCTAGTAGCACCTACTTTGATAAATGTTCGCTGATTGAATGAATACATGTATATATCTCTTTGTCCATGGGTAATGGGGGGCCTTTAATAGTTCTCAGGGCCAGCCTAATACAGCAGTGTTTGAAGATGGTAGGTCTTCACTCATGTGCAGCATGAATTGGGGAGTGGAAGTTAGGATTGTGGAGAGGGATTAAAATATTTGCTTAGTTTGTGTCTTTTGAAAAAAATATTGCAAATCCATTGCAATAGTTTTTTAATGACAAAAGCATTACATCTATATATTAAAATTCAGATAATATAGAAGGGTTCTTTATTAATTAAGTAGGCAAAACTATTCTAACAAATAACACCAAAACATAGTGGTTCAGACAGTAGAAGTGATTCTCATAACAGTGTAGCGAAGATGTCTCAGATGAAAAGGTTGGGTGGTGTACCTGCCCACGGCCAGAATCTGGCTGCCAGGTGGATGGCAGTCCTGCTGTCTGCAGCCCATGCTTTCTAAGATCACTTTGGTTGTCATCACCACCTTTCCAAGCCCCATAAAGGGGGGGAAGGATGGGGAAGGAGCATGGAGGAGATATATGAAGGCTTCATTGGCCAGGCTTGGAAGGGTTACACATTCCATTCAAGAGAATTTAGTCTCATGCCACACTAGCTGCAAGGGAAGCTGAGAAATGCAAACTAGCCTGGCAGCTGTGTGCCAGCTGCTATGGATGAATTGACGAACAGATGTGGGGTAGCAGTTAGCAGTTTCTGTCGCTGACATAAAAGAATATAAGGTAAAAAGAAAAATGTGGCTACCTTCCCACTGCCCAGGCTTAGCCACTCATATATAATGTGCGTGCGTGTGTGTGTGCGTGTGTGTGTGTACACTGAGTATCTTGTCTTTTCTCTTAGAATCTTTACATGGCTCTGCACCTAACCAGCACAGAGTAATAAGAGCTGCTATTTATAGAGTGCATATCAAGCATCAGGCTTATATGTCCTTTCTCTTTTAATCCTCACAATACCTTTGAGAAAGGAGCTGTTATTTTCTCTATTACAGATGAGGTAAGGGATGCCCAGAAAAGTTAAATAACTTGTCCAGAGTCACACAGCTATTCCATGGCAGAGCCAGGATTCGGTCACAGGACTCCATCCTGCCGGTACGAAGCAAACCTTGACTGATGGTCGCACTAACCTTACGCTGTGTATTCATTGTGATTGGTTTAAGTGAAATAGGATGATGACTGTTTGACAGTGAAAGTGCAGTTAAAAATAGGGTTGGGGTGAGTGCAGCCCACTTAGGCTGAAGGGGCTGTGCCAAGATGCACCTCCCAGGTGGGACAGCTCTGCAGCCCCAAGCAAGTCACCACGCCTTCTCTGAGGATTGGGACTGAAATGCAGTTTCTTCCAGAAAGGACTGAAGGACTGGAGGAAGACTGGCAGGAGGAACCCGAGTGAATCCACTCAGCTTAACGGTCTTTGAAGTGCTCTGGCCTTCAGAGAATCCTTGGCACTCATTTTAGCCTTGTTAACAGAATTCCTGTATCTGCCAAGCTGATGAATGCCTGCCCTGGCTATAATTATTCTTATTAGCTTGCTGAATAGGAACTCTAGTTGTCAGTGATCGTTCCTTACAAGGCAGTCAGGTTAGTCGGCATTTATATGGCTATTTTGTTTTAGTGCTGAGCTACCGAGCTGATTTTGCCCTATAGATTAAACGTACGTTTTCATATTGGCACTGCGTCTGGCAGTTAAATAAGGTGT